CCCTTCAGACGCATATTCTTGAAGTAACATAATTGAGTTTGGATCATGTGGACTTTGTTCTACCAGCCCATAGGTACAAAATATGTGTGAATGAGGGCTTAATTCAACATAAAAGAAAGCTTTACGATGGGCGCGCGCACCAATGAATTTTAATAAAACAACTTTTGACCCTGCTGGTTTCGATAGCCACTCAGCTTCAAGCACCATTTCCCCAGTGGTTGGAAATAGTATATGCTTACTTTTCTTCGTATCAACACCTTATTTAAACCGATAATTTTTCTGTCGAATTTTATTTTCTAACTCTGTGGCCATTTGCTTAATTTCATTGTTTGGGCACAAAGTATCTTTGAATAAATGCTTATATGTTATTGGGTTTATATGATTTTCATTTATCTATTTGACAATAGCTGATTCTTCATATGTATAATCATCTTCTGCTTTGACTGAATTGTGAAACAGCTCGTGCATAAGAGGACAAACTAACGATTGTGCTAGAGGCGTGATTGTGGTATTCGTAGTCACGGTTTAATCTAAAAGTTGATAGCTTTATGAGTTGATACAGTAGTGTTTGCCTCGAATAGTTCACATACAAGCTTGCAATGTATGGTGCTGAGCAAAAGTAACTGTCTTTCTAGACTTGGGTGTGGATATGTGTGAGTATGGGTGTATTCAGGATACTGAAGAAGCTCCACACCCACACCCACATCCACACTCATCTTTTAATGGAAGTATATGTGAATACATCAATCTTTCTGAAAATGATGGATTAATGGATTTCTTACAACAATAGGAACTTTCGATGCATAAATAAAGACAAATTTCCGTTGGTCTACAACAGAGATGTCCATCATTGCTGGAAATCTACCACTGTCATAATGGTTTTGAGGATGTCCTTTGAAAATCTCTTCCATCGCGGTACTAAATTAGCGCAACTAGATCGAACCCATCAAATTTGCCACGGTTCCTGCCTGTCGAACTTGTAGACACTTAAATCAGGTGCAAATTCATCTAGTTTAACAATCTCCACAAGAATTTAGCTGTCGCTGCTGCTATACTATTTTGAAATATTTCCTGCGCCGCGATAGACATCTCTGGTCTATAGTACTTCTCAAAATCATAAGAATAAGATATCGCTGACTCTATTCTTTAATGCCGAATACCTAACTCAAATTGAAATAGTAATTTGGATAGTCAATATAGTTTTCTATCAGATATATTATATATAAAGAATTTATAGTTGTACTACATGGAGAAGTTTTCTAAAAACCAAACGATGTAGTTTCCAGGTCATAGAACACATTGTAGAAATTCGTTTTCAAAAGTATTATTGCAACGAACATAAAACTCTAAGCAATATGAATGATCGCCGCGTTTTTTATGACCTTCCCTTAACAAAGGTACAAGCGTTTCACACTACTAAATTTAGATAAATTTTGCTTTGTTTTGTGTTTTGTAATGTTTGTAACTTTATAAAGAAATGTCCTAAAATCACGGTAATTCCTCATATTAATTTATTCGATCTTTTTAGTAAACTTTCCGGCATAGTGCAACTTATAGAGAACCTTATTGGCTTTTCGAAACACTATTTTGACTTAAGCCAGATACTTAAGAATACCTTGTCTTATAATGTTGAGCAATCTTCTATATAAAGTCTGTGCTTCGCATTGCATTTATTTTAATAATTAGAAAACTTGACTTTTTTCTTACTTGGTAGAAGAAGCTTTCACATATTTCAAATGCCAGCTAAATTTCGAAAAATGAATAAGTGCAAAATTGCCTATTCATTATATAGAACAATTGTAAAATTTATGATTTATAATATACTGCACTCTATTGACTATCCAAAACTATTGGTACGCGTCATTTTAATCGTATGAATCATCGATTAAACTCATTACTTACTTGTTGTTTTTGATTTTTTCGCATTTGATAAAACATGAAAAAGCTATTCATTATTTATTTTTTAATTCTTAGTCTTTCAACAGTAGCTCAACAATCTGAAAGTAAGTCTTATATAATCAGTATCATTTCTCTTATAAATTCTTTCATTAGATTCAGAAGATACAGAAGAATTTATTCCAACAAACGAATGGAAAACAGTCAAAGAAGGTATTTTAAAATAGTTTACAAATGAAAACATGAATTTCTTTTTTTTTATTCATCAGGACAAAAAATTCCACCTGGTCTTCATGTTCGATTAAATCTCGAGACCGGTCTTCGAGAAGCTAAACTTCTTGATAATAATGAACAACAATCATCATCCAATAGCATTATTCCTGTTTCATCCGGTGAATAATAAATTGATTAATAAGTAAAACAAATATTTTATTTTATTTTTATCTTTAAGAAACAACTACAGAAGAAATAAGCCGACATAATCTTGAACAAGCATTTGCAAATCTTGATTTAAGTAAAGATGATGTTGAAACCGATAAAGTAATAATTAACATAAACATATATTATCTTATCTATTTCTTATGAATTAGACACATGAAGAAGAAATACGTAAACGATTTCGATCATATGAAGAATTAAAAAAGGATTTCGAATCAATCAATATGAAAATTCAAACAGATCAAGAAATTTTAATTGATCTTATTGATCAGTTAAATAAAACTGATAATAATGATAATAGAAAAACAATTCTTACAGATCTTGAATATTATCTTCATCAAGTTAGAATCAATTGAAATCTAATTTTTTTTTGCTATTTTATATCTAATTTTTAGTATGATAATGCAATACTCTTTTCTGATCTCAATGGCCTTGATTTACTTATTGATCTAGTTAATTCAACAAATACGGCTGCTGAAATTCGTAATTTAGCCAATCTTGCATTAGGTGCAGCTTTTCAAGGGTAAATCTAAACTTTTGCAGAAACACGTTCTAAAAGACATGTTAAAGTATATCGTGTTTCATATAGCAGGAGTTTTTTTTTTTTTTTTGTTTACTTTTAGAAATCCTAAAGTTCAATTAAAAGCATTACAACGTGGTTTTATTCAACATCTTTTGCGTTTATTAAATACAGAATCAGACGATAATATTATTCTTCGTCTTCTTTTTACATTATCAACTTTATTAAGAAGTTTTCCACCAGCTCAAAAGAATTTTCTTGAACATGGTGGAGCAGAATTAATGGTTAAAATTCTTGATCAAACAAATCAAAATAATAAAATAGCAGTACGAGCTCTTACACTTATGGATGATCTAATTATTGAAAAAGTAAGATTTAAAAAATATTTAAAAGATTTTTTTAATTATTTTATTATCATAGGATCAAGCTTTGGATAATAAACAAGAGGCATATAAAAAGTAAGTTGATTCTCTTTCGTACAAATATCAATTGCAACTCATAAATCTTGATAGAATAATTTTGATGTATTACAATTAGTATCTAAGTTTTAAGAAGCCAAAAGAGATATTATTAAACTAGTTAAATGATTCTTCGAGAAGATTTTAGCATAATGATAAAGACAGTTAATAAAATTAGATTAAAACTAGTTTTCTTTTGTTTTTATATTTTAATTCAAGAATCTTATGAATCATTCGTTTTTATTCCCTATACTCGTCGATCTACGATAAGAACATATATTAGAGCCTTCTTTTTTAGAACTCTTGAGTTGTTTGTCCTTAATCTGATAGAGAACCAACTATTACACGAATGAGTGGTTAGTAACTCAAAAGAAACGCGTTAAAATACCTACGCTATACGTTAACTAATAAAGAAAGACTCGCAGCTGTAATTCGACATTTTTGACCAAAGTACAACGAGGACAAGGCGTTGCATAAATTGTTTTTATTTCTCAAAATAGGATTTTGCAAAAAAAAAAATGCAAGGTGGACTATATAAAAAAAACTTCACTGATACCTTGAAAAACTATTACACTATACGATACTCAAATAGCACATATTTTGAACATGAAGTCTTGAAAGTTGTTGTTTTGTACTCGGCGACATACACGTAAACTTTGTTATATTTAGACTAAAGACATATTACTATAGTATATGAATCTTGATGACTTTCCATCGTAATATACTCAAAGTCTAACTCTTTATACAGGTTTTGTTAATGTTAATTAGCCCATCTTGACTTCTTATAGATCAGATATAATGACAAATACTTCTGTTAATAACAAAACATTTTCTTCTTTAATAATCGATACTCTATGTGTTTATCTCTAGCATTCATATACTCCAACAACTAGTCGATTATGGTTGGTGTTCCCGTGTTTCCACTCGATTAACATTGTTCGATATAGATAATTTCGACCATATTGAAACAACAATACATACAATGATACCATTTATTGATGTATGTCACTTAGATTTTACGCATCTAATACCAACACTAGACAAAATTAATAAGATTTATACAAAGAAAAATCTAAACAATGATTCAACATATACGGATATTTTAAATAATATAAAGATTATTTTAACAAAATTACGGCAAAGATCATCGGATGATTTATAATCATTTTCCTGCTGTGCATGATCTTTATTCTAGTCAAATAAATGGCTTATTTGTTCTGTTTGATTTCTATCATAATAGTTTTGTTTTGTTTTTTTTTGGTTGTATTTCTTTTTGTTAAAAATAAAACAAAAGAGAGAAAATAATATTATCTGAATATGATAAAAAAATTTTCATTGCGAATAATTCTAATATAGACTTGTTATTTGTTTTATTTATTCTTCTTCTGATATATACATATATATATATATAATTAGCCTTGGATTCAACTTCTAGCAGTATGAAGATACATAGATGACAAGAAAAGAAAGAAAGTCTTCGTTATTTTATCCTATGGAGTATATTACATATTTTGAGATATCTTTCGTTCTTTTTTCTTTTGCTTCTCATTTTTAAGACCAATAATATACTAGCAAGTTGTATGCCTCGAATAATATCCACAAGAGAGAAAAGAAGGCTTTTTCATCACTACCAGATTAGATCTTGTCCTATGTTTGCTTATGCATATGGGAGAGAAGAAAGATGAGATCGTTTTAGTTTACACTGTGCCCGTGTTATTCGTCAGGAAAAAGATATATATACCGAACTCTATATACACTAATGGTTAAGCAGGCGAAGGGGAAGCGCAAAAAAAAAAAAACTTGCACTAATATCAGTAGCGGTTATCCTTTTTTTTTTTCTCTTCTCCTTCATCTTCCTACGTTTGTGTAATACAGCACCAAAATAGGCAATTCTCGTTGTAGCAGCACCATCAACAACAAAAACATCGTCGAGTAGAAAGAAAAGAAGATAAAATCGGGTGTTCTTTTGCTTGTAATCATCTATTGTGGTAAGCTACTTGTGCATAGTACACACACGGTCATCGTCGTATAATTCATCCAAACTCAACAATGACAGACGTAAGTGATGATGTCGCAAAAAGAAAACACTAAACTTTTTATTTCCTAATCATTCTAAAATGAAAATTTGAAAAAGAAATTCATAAAACAGAAGCTATATTCTAGAAAGATGAAGTAAGTTCTCATCGTCTTGTGCATACCTTAAATGTTCTTCCTTCTATATCATTTAACAAAAAATTTTCTTTTTTATTTCATTTCGCATGATGAATTTTTCCTCCATATCATCGATCATTAATGAATACATATATATATAATTTCATATTTGCACAGAGGATAAATTTATAAGTTAATATTTTAAAGTAATAACAAAAAAATAAAAGCAAATCTATTTTTATTCGTTAGAAGAAGATGAAAAAGAAAGCCCAACGTGCCACGAGTAATGTTTTTTCAATGTTTGATCAAAAACAAGTACAAGAATTCAAAGAAGTATATATACAAAAATCTATTTATGTTTGCAAGAAAAAGCTTTGTTTTTTGTTTTTTCCTAGGCATTTAATCTTATGGATCAAGATCGTGATGGTACAGTTAGTATGGATGATTTAAAGGAAGTATATGCTTCACTTGGTAAAGCACCAAAAGATGCAGAATTAAAAACTATGCTCGATGAAGCTCAAGGTCCAGTTAATTTTACAACATTATTAACTTTATTTGGAGATCGATTAAATGGTACAGATGAAGAAAATGTTATATTAAATGCTTGGAAAAATTTTGATGCCGATGGAGGCGGACAAATAAATCAAAAAAGGTAATTTAATACATAGTAAAAATAGTTTTAATTATAAATTCTCTTTTTTTGCATTATATTTTAGCTTACGAGAAGTCCTTACAGGTGAAGGACGTCCTGATGAACGTAAGTATTTGATTAAAAAAAAAATTATTATTTAAAATAATATTAACTGCTTCTATTTTTTTTTGTTTTCATTTAAAGGATTGACCGATATGGAGGTATGAATTTATTTTCCTATTTATTCAATATTAATTAGTTTTTTTTTTGTTTTATATTTGACAATTTTAGTTCAGTCAAATGCTCGATGGCGCCCCAATAGATCCTAAAGGCAATCTTGATTATGCTGCATTTACTCGACAGATTAAACGTGGCAAAGAAGATGAATAAGAATCTAATGACTAAATTTATATTAGACTTATTTTTTCTTTACCCTTATCTTATATACCTTTTTTTTTTCTTCATCTGTTTAAACATCTATACTAATAAAATAAATGTGAAAGCAAACCATTAAATTCGTATTGTGAGAGAGAAAAAAACAGAATTTTCAAGTGCTACGATGCAATACACAACAACAGCCAAGTGTTCGATTACCAAAATGCTAAATCAATTATTTGTCTATGTAATTAAAAGCATTACCAAGTCAGCATTATGATATCAACAAATATCTTTTTTTTTTACAGCAGTAAAAATAATTTTGAGAAGTTAATAGATTGAAAACTAATCTTTTGAAACTGGATATTTGTTGCTCTCTACTATTTTTCGTATTTATTAAGACATTTAGCTAAAATATACGTAAGTAAAAAGACGATTTCTTTTTTATATAGAAGTTATTATTGACGATCGTACTTGTCTTTGTTGTAGAAAAAAACAAAACATCAGATGAGAATAAGGAAACTTATTCAAATATTTTTAATTATTCATTTTATATCTATCGTTTCTTTCTATTAAACATTTATAAGTCTCACAAAAAAAAACAATACATCGAATTCAGCTCGAGCATAGACACAATAGATTTTATCCATTAGACTGAAGTCAATTGTTTTATGTCCGGTGTATATTACTGATAAGTTTATTAAATCCATTTTAGTATCGCTAACGAAATGAATATTTATATTTATCAAGAAGTAAGAAAGTCTATATTAAAGAAGCACATTGTGTTTTTTCTCATTTACAACTGATCAATAGAAAATTCATCCTTCAACAAACTTCTCAGACTTCAATTTTTTTTTTTTTTTTTTTCATTAACTAAAAGTTCGGCGCAATAGTTATTTATTAATGCATGTCTCTGTAAGGCATTGTTTTTGTTTGATTTTGCTTCTAGTTCTTGAAAAAAGTAAGAGCTTGAAATAAACCGATTTTTTTTCTCACTTTACTGACACCTGAAAGTATTATTATAACACAGCAGTCAAATATGAATACCGGATTTTTCAAGTGCAGATTCGGTTTCTAATGATATTAACTCACGACAGAAATTCTCCAAATGCGCTATGAACAACCCGGAAAAAGTTCGGATCTTTAGCATATTGCTGCCGAGATACTGCACTTTTACTGTATTTTTTTTTAAAGAATTCTGTGGTAATAGAAAACTGATTTTCGAATTTTGACTTGAAACATGATATAGTCTCAAATCTATGAGTTTATATGCGCTCTTACCATACTTGTATCTCAGGATAGAAATAGTGACAAGATTTGAAACATCCACAAAAAAAAAAAACTATTCTGATTTAAGTCTGTCTCTATGCAAAGTTTCAAGTCAAAATTGAAAAATCAATTTTTCTGTTATTTAAAAAGTATAGTAAAAGTGCAATATCTTGGTAGGAATAAGCGATGGATCCGAACTCTTTCTAGGATATTCATGGCTCATTTAGATCTACATAATGAGTGTAGTCCTAACTCAAAAATGATTTATCAATTCAAGATCTTCTCTTGTTAGTTACATGTTTTATTACCTCAACATAGTTTTTAGAAGTAGTAGAGAGTATTTTATTTTTGATCAGCATAAACAAAAATTTGATCAATATTCTGATTCTTTCTCCTATTTTAAGACTTATACATTCTATTCTCTAAATATTTATTTTTTATATAAATCTTAAATAATAAAAGTGTACTCCATAATCTACAATTTAAACAATTATTACTTGTTGATACCAATGCCGATATCAAGTGGTTTCAGTTATTATAAAGAAATTATTCCAATTCGAGAACGTCAACATATTGTACGACCACAAATCTTTTCTCGTGCATCTAAGGTAAATTTTATTTTATTCTGTACTTATGTGTCATGCATATAGTTTTCACCAATTTCCCTTTTGTTTCTTTATTTCGAAAAAAAAAAAAATTTAATAATTCTAAAAAAGAAAGAAGAACAAGAAAAAAAAAGTCCAAACGAGAAGAGAACGTAAATGTGTTTTGTTTTGTTACACATAACAGCAACCATCAAATAGTAACATCGAGTGATTCGGAAAGAGACATTGAAAAAGAAGGAAAAAAAATATAATAGTAGTTAGTCTGAATATTTTAATATAACAACAAAAAAAAAACGAGAGAAAGAAAAGAAGAAAACGAAAGAGAAAAAAAAACTTTATATGTCACAAAGTTATCACGAGCAGTTTCGAGAGAATCAACGAAACAATAATCAGAATGGTTTATTCTCAAATTCAAAAGCAACAGCAGGTAACAAATTACCAACACAACGACCAACAGCCGCTGTCAAACAACCAATACGTTCTGATACATTTACATTGCCAAGAAAACGTAATGAAACAAATTTTAAAGTGCCTAAACTCAATCAAGCACAAAATGGTTCTCGACCACAACGGCCAGTCAAAAAGCCTACCATCATAAATTCAACGCCTCCTGTTGAACAAAAACCTATTGAAAAAATGCGTAAAAATGGTGGCACTCGTCCTACGATGCGACAATCGAATTTATTTATGGATCGAGGAAATATTCAACGCAAACCCGTACGCTTTTCTAATGACTATAATAATACTTATTATTCTTCTTCTCCTGCTTCTGCTCCTGTTCATTATCAAAAAAGTGCACCTCTTGCTGATCCTTTGCCTCGAGATGCTTTAGATAAATCGCGACGTATGCGTATATCCAATGATGACTATGTAATACATCGTCGAAAAGATTCACCTGCTTATGCTTATACTGACTATAAAACGGTGAGTGATATACCGACTATTTCATATGTTACGTCTTTACCACCTATTGATCAACCAAAACATAGGACAGGTCCTACTGTCATTATTCATCCGAAAGAAACTCATCATTCCGAAACTCCTACAATTATTCCAACTGTATCTATAGCTCCTTCCTATCCTCCACCACCTCCTCCTGCTCCCATTATGATTTTACCTTCTTCAGTTGCTCCTTCATATCCTCCTACTTCGACTATGTTTTTACCACCTCCAACTGTTTCTTCATATTCTCCTATGATGTATCCTATTACAACAGTTCCTACTCAACCTCCTGGACAAAATTTTCTTCCACCAAATCCAGCCTATATTTCCCAACCATTGTTTTATCCTATTCCTAATTCTAATTCTAATCCTAATCCTCCAGTATCGGCGCCACCACTACAGCAGCAGCAAACTGTGATAAGTCAATCATCATCTTCGTCTGTATCGGCTCCAGCAGCACAAATAAAAACTGAGAATAAAACTGAGGAAAACAATATGACGTTTATTGTTCGTCCAAATACGACTAACAAGAAAAATGTAACCATACAAGTGAAAATGATAGATGAGGTTTGCTTTTTGTTTTCTTCTCTATTTATAATTGGTGAAGCTTTAATAGGTTTTCTTTTTTTTTTTGTTCTTATTCTTCTATTAAATTTATTTCATTATTATACAACTTAGGACAATCCACGTGATAGAGCAAGATCAGAACGTGTAGTCCGAGTTGCACATGATCCTCCATATCGCGAAGTGGATGATCGATATTATGTTGAATCGGAACCAAAACGTATTATTTATGAACAACCAACACATCGAAGAGCAATTGTTCGAAGACCAGCACCACCTTCACTCCCGCCTGCAACCGAATATGTTTATGTTGATGAATCACCATCAACTATAGTTCGTCGTCGTCCTCATCGTTCTGAAGTTGTTTATATTAACAACGATCAACCATTAGAATATGATGAAGAAATCGTTTATGTTGATGATAATGGTAATGAAATTGAATACATCTATGATGATGAACCTGTGTATCATCGACGAAATTATAGAACATCTTACCAACCATCATCAACAAAAATTGTTTATGAATAATTCAAAATAAGAAAATTTATTTTGTATGTAAATGTTTTTTTTTTTTTTATTATTATTATAAAAAAAACACGAAGACAAAAAAAAAAAAAAAAAAGACACATCCAATAAAAATTCTACATTTCTATATTGTTACAAAAATTAGAATATTAAAATCAATCAATTAATGTGCGATATTATTCTTTGTTTTTCGATAACGTTTATAAATAAAATATATAATTATAATTATTAATAAAACAAATAGAATAAGAACAAATGATAAAACATGTTTTTTCTTTTTCATTATTGTTAATTCATTATGACAACCACCATTTAATTCTGTTTGAAAAAATTTTATCCAAAAATAATACATGGAATCAAAATAATTAGGTTCATTATGAATATTATTTAATTGAAAAAATATATAATTATGTTCATTTTCTGTATAAGGTCTCCATTCAATAGTAGAATTCATTATTGATAATGAATCTATATTTGGATTTCTATTTTATAATAATAATCATAAGAATAATAATAAATAAGTATTAAAAAGAAAATAATAAACTACTAACCCTGTCTTAATAAAATTTGTCCAATAACGAATTAATTGTCGACTAAAATTTTCTTCATCATTTGAATAATTATAATAACTTAGATTAACATTTCTATGTATTTGATGATAACCACGTGTCAAGGGAACACCAAATATATAATCTAATCATTCATAGAAAAAAATTAACGAAAAATAAAAAAATTCAATAAAACTTCCTACTCGACTTTCTTGATTTTAGAGTTTAAAAAAAAGATAAAATTTCTCGCATGCTAGTACTTAATATAGTTTTCATTATGATAAAACAAGTTTTCTATACTACTGGGAGTTCATTCCAAGAATTAGTTTGATTAATCGCTTTGAAGTTCGAACTATATCTATCATGCAGACTAAAACAACCGGTAAATATTCTGAAAAGAGTTCGAATTGCTTTTACAGTAGCTTTTAAATTGTTCCTATTCTAAACTAAATATATTGAATCCACCATCATACATGAGCGATGTAAAAGATACACTTTTACCATGCCGGGGTATCTTTTATGATAGAGATTTTTCTTTAGAACTATTTCTATTCAACGTTTTCAGTCAAAATTCGAAAATCAGTTTTTCTGTTACTACGGCATTCGTTTAGAAACTATCGTAGAAGTGTAGTATCCCGGTAACAATAAGCTAAGGATCCGAACTCTTTTCAAAATAGTTACATCTTATTTGATTCTACATAATGCATGCAGTCTTGACTCAAAAGCGATTTATCAATGAAGGATCTTCCCTCGTCAGCGAAATCGGAACCGTCTTATTTTTGTATATAGCGTTGATGTTTGGTTCATATTGTTCAAGTCGATTAAACAATTCGATTTCTCAGATTTAATCATAGCGGGTATAATGCAAATATTGACACCAGTAACTTTCCTCGAAAATATCTTTTTGAGGCTTATTTGAAATCTCTAATGATTAGATCGGAAGTTTCTAAAGAGAAAGATACTTCTTCATTTTTCGATAGTTTAAGAGAGTCAGTAGATGTTTTAAATAATGAGCTATACTAAGAATTTTGTATTCTTTTTGAATTTTTGTTCAGAGATTTTCGTACGATTCATAATTTAGGAATTGTGAGAGAATCTTTGAAAGATCTGAAAATAAAGTTTGAACGGAAGTAATTATACTAATAAATCTGACGAAGAAGAAAACAACTGTAACTCTTTTGTAATTGACTTCCTGTTATTTTTTAGTGATTCTTCTCGATGCTCCATTTTGACTGAATCATGTTTTCAAGTTTTTTTTTTATCTCAATATTTAAACAATATAGATCCTTCTCAACCATAATTCCTCTTATTGAATATCTTCTATTACCGATTTTTTTTTACACAATGAACTAACAATTAAGAATCTTGCAGCAATCCTTCAGAAATGATTAAACTCGTTAAGAAAGTTTGAAAATAAAAGAATTTCAAAAAAATTACTGTGTATCTCACTAAAACGCTTACACATTCAAAGAAGCCTCATAGAAAACTAATGATTATTGTTTGCTCTTTTTTTTTTGAGTGTATTGAGAATAAATTTTACATTTATTTTAAATGTATGTTTGCGTAGTGAAGCTCGTTTAAACTCTTCTAAAAATTCTAAGCATAGCTTCAGAGAGAATAAACAATCCTAACTCTAACTCGTTGTTCTAAAATTTCTAATGACTATTTTAATCAATTGAACACTGAAGAAATAATTCATTCAGAAACTTCTGATTCATTTCTTAACAACTAATTTTTCAAAGTTTGATTTAATTTATTCGTTTTATCTATTATCTTCAAATATTCACCTAATTCAGCAAAATGTCCAATAACATGTGGCAATGTTTTTAAATGATCTCGAAATAAACTTCGTGCTTTAAATGTTGGTCGATGAGAATAAATATATGCATAATTTGATGATGTTTGATTTGGTAATTGTGCACGTAAATTTAAACAATGAACCATATGAAAATTAAACATTAAATCAGAAACAAGATCAATATAAAGTTTTAATCGCATAGTAATATTATCTTTTCCTAAATATAAAATTGTTTAAATAAAAATAATTGAAAATTTTTTGTATATTCGCTTTTGTTTAAATTTCTTACCTGGATATTCATATCGTTTCTTAATTTCATCAATATAACAAGTTGCAAATTGAAAATTTGCATTTATATAACGTTCAACATAGTCTAATTTTGAAAATTGATCAAGAACAACATGTGGATCATAATTTAATACTTGTTCAACATGTGTTTTTCTATGAGATTTAATTTCTTCCACATCATCATCATCTTCATCATTATCATAGCTTTCTTCATCTAGACTTTCTTGTGTTTTAATTATATCCGGTGGTATTATAGCTGTTGAATTACGATGAATAAAACGTTTTTGTCTTGTTTGAAGTCGTTTACCAATTGATGCTGATTGATTAGTTAAATCACTGTAAAAATGTCCGATATGATATTCAGCAAAATAAAGACCTTCATTTAATGTAACACCCGTTAGAAGATCAACATTTCGATAGGCATCACTTTGTATAATATTCTCGATTGTATCATTTAAAAAATCATTGTCAATAACAGGATATGGATTATCGTCAGCTAAGAAAAATAAAAACCAATAGAAATCATATTGAAAACGACAAGAATGTTTTTCATACCAATGCTCAGACTTAAATGAAGACGATAAAAATCTCCCTTATTATCTTGTAATAATTTATGAATACATTGAAGCATTTCTGTTTCATTTGTTTTTTCACAATTGAATTCACGTGATAAACGTTGAATTAATTTTTTTGGTTGATGATTTATACTCCATGGTGCTAAACCAGTCCCTGATTGTGATATAATACGTTTAATCATACCACGACAATATTTACTAGCTAAAAATATTAAAAAATAAAAATAAAACAAAAAAATAAAATAGAAATTATTCTACCTGGAATTAACATAACATTTCCAGCACCAGCTGAATGACCAGCTAAAACAATTCGTTTAGGATCACCACCAAATAAATGAGCATTTTCATAGATCCATTCAACAGCTAATAATTGATCCCAAAGACCAAAATTACCTTTTGAAAAATAAAAAGAATGATGATGATTTTTTTTTTAAGTATTTTCTAAGACATTTCAAGAATCTTTTCTTCATTTATTATATTTTTAATTAATCTGTAAAAGCAAAACAATAACACAACTTTAAACAAAGAATGCTAATAATTAAAAAGATACATTCTATCCTATAATTTATCACTGACAAACTTTAATTGAGAAAACAACATTCTTATACTTAATAAAAAAAAATATATCTTGTCTATGTTATAAGGTCAATAACATCATAAATAGAATGTCGATTTTTGCGTGTCTTCTTTTTATTATGTAGTACATTTTATTCAAAAACAAAATACATACGACACGATTCACTGTAAACAAGATCTGCAAATTACAATAAAAGTCTCATTTTTCATATACATTATTTGTTTTCCAAATGAATAAAATTATGAATGATCTTTCATGTCTAATTGAAATATTATCGCATGAAAATTTTATTGAAGTTGTTCTCCCATATGTGCAATCTGAAGGCAAACGGTTCACCAGTAATGTTTTCATCTATCAACAAGACAATATCATACTACATACACATCAGAAACCGCTGACTTAGGCTGAAAAGAATTTCATGCATTTTATAATTCATTATAGATGAGTAACAAATAGTTCTGATGTCGATGTTTTGGTTTTTGTACGTATGGGACACTATCACCAATAATATGCCATATGATAAAGTTAAAAACTATGATTCTCTAATTGATGACATAGGAAAATGTATTCATCGTGTATTAAAAATTGATCGTAGAAAATTTTTTTCTTCATTTTAAAAACAAAGTGTATTTTCACTCTCTACATTTTTTGATATAATTAGTTTTTGAATCAAACATACTAAGCAATACAAAAACGCCCATTCATTTATGTCTTACATACTATTATTATTAATATAAAGTAATAATAATAAATGTTATCTCAAGACCTATTATCTAATATAAACAAACTGAAAATTGAAATAAATATATTTCTAATACCTTTAATTCGATCATCTCCACTAGATAAAAATCCATGATAATTCAAACGAAAATTCATTGTTACAACAATAATATCACCTTCACTTGCTAGAATACTTCCATCAAATAATGAACCACCACCTATTTGATTAGAACCACCATGTGAAAATATCATAATAGCTTTTCGTTTTTCTCCATAACGTAAATCAGCTCGATAGATATTTAATGAAAGACAATCATCATTAAAATTATTTTGCATTACAAATGAACCATATGAAAGATTTTCTGTCATTAATAATGACTGCATACAATATGGACTATATTTTGTTGCAATTTGTATTGAATAATTAAAACGTTTTTTTATTGGTTTTTCAAGTGATCGAGGAATTTCAGCATAATAAATACCAAGAAATTGATCAATATAGTGATTACGATATTTTATTCGTTTACCACAATAAATACCTGTTGAAGAAATAAGATATGGTCGTTGAAATAAAGATTTTTTTTGAGAAATTTTATCATAAGATGCTAATTTAAATACATATTCATCAGTTATATTTATTGTTGAAAAATTCGCTTGTGTTTCAGTTTTTTTACATGTTAATAATGTACATATTGGTAAAGTTGAATTAAATGATAATTGATCAACAATACGTTCAAATGATGGATAAAGAATAGTGGGAGAATAAGAATATGTAAAATGATTTTGATGGAATAGAAGAATAAAAAAATAAAAAATAAAACTTAATATTTCATCAGACATTATGATAAATATTCTTCTCATAAACATGATCTAATGAAAATCGAAAGAACTTCGAAAACAAATCTATATTGTTAAGATCAACAACAATAAATATGACATTCTCATATATATATATATATATATATTGGTCAAAAAAAATGTCTTAATTCATTTTTAATTCTGTCTATAATTGATTGTTCTGACTGGTTGCTTGAGTGAACACCTACAAAATACATAGAATTGACTGAGATAATAACAATGAGACAGACGACAAATCCATTAGATATAAGTACAAGAAGAAATAAAAGAGACAGAAAGAGGAAGAAAGAAAGAAAGTCTGTTCTTCTAGTTAGTTGAGACCTTTTGTTATTGATGTGTAATGAAAGAAAGAAATGGACGATACTCCATTAGTACAAAAAAAAATCATTCCATCAAAGAAAGACATTCTATGCTATTGGAGAATTGATAAAAGGTCTCCGAAATGGCGACTCATCTATATCCATTCACGTAATGATGAGTCAAAATAATACAAACATAAATAGCAAAAAAAAAACTAGAAAAAGTCATGCGTAAAAGCAAAACGATAATCTTGGAAATACTGGCACCTGATACTAATCGGTTTGATCATGCAAAAAAAAACAACATACTAATGGAAAGATTTTTTTTTGGAAGGGAAGGAAATACATAAATTAGTTAAAAGACTATTCTATTATATTGCTTGATTTGATAACGTCAACACATTCATTTATAGCGATATTTTATGTACCAAACATAATGTTAGCTGATAAATCTGGTATACATATTGATAAATTGATAATCAAATAAATCTCTAATAGCTTATCAGACAAAGAGTTTATCTAGTTGTCTTTAACAAATAATATTCGGTTTACAGGATTTACTGTCCACGGATTTACTGTCCATTGATTGAATAACTTTTTTTTTTCAATTAGCGTTTGTCTCGTTTGAGGAATTACTGTCCATTGATTGCCTTGAAGAATAGAAATGAATAGAAAAATATTTGACGGAATCAACTATGTATATTTAGGAAAAAAAAAGAATTCAAACAAATATCTGAGGAGATAACAAAGCAAATAAGGGATTGATTAATAAATAAACCAAAAAAATATGAATGGACGTTCAACTTTTTGGTGGACGCTGAAAATATCTAAGTACACCAGCTTTTACGAATGAGTGAATATCGGTAACCAAGGTAGCATAATTGTCGTTTACCATGGGTAGATTCAGTAAATATAGCAGACATTNTGTCATAGACTCAAAATTCTCTGATGCTGTCTTCTATGAGATAATAGGTTTACAATCAGTGGCGTACGCAGGGGGGGGGCCGGGCCCCCCCCTTGAGACGAAAAAGTCCTGAAGGGGGGTACAGGAAAAAGTATTTTCGCGTGATAAAAAATTTTTTGTGTCATGGCGGGCCCCCCCTTGAAAAATTTCTGCGTACGCTACTGGTTACAATGTCGAAAAATGGCCATAGTTTTTGCCTCCCCCTTTTTTTCCAAGACGGTATGTTCGATTGAGCTTAAATTTTTTTACGGGTAGTAGATACTGCTTGAGGTGCGTATTTTTTTAGTTTTTCTTTTTCTTTTGTTGTTTCAATAAAAAAAAAAAGTCAAAATACTGAGTCTACCCTAAAAAACGCTTGTTTGTATTCCTCTAGCAAATTTTGTGAAAGTTGTCAAAAATCATCAGACCAATAATTCTTGAACATTTACAATTTAAGCTATTTTCGTTATGTAAATTTGATTTCTTCTCAAATTTTTTAATCTTTAAAGGCAATTGTTAGGTTCCAAAATATAGTCAATAGATAGACACTACTTGAAACTATACAATGGCCACAAAACAAAAATTTTGGGCGAGGATAGGGTGGAGATACCCTTAAGGAAAGAATCTTATAAATCATTTGAATCAAAACATAATTCAAGAGAAATGACCGGAAAAAAATGCTTGTTGTTGACTGAATAAAAAAACAAACGAGTATTGATGAGTTATTTTACATGTGATATGATTTAATTCTAGAATAGTTTTTTCTAAACCAGAATGTAGCACAAACTGAAGCCATCGGGATTTGACTGGGACTAAAAAATCTTGGTTTTGCATATCCTCTAGTCCCAAAATAAATAGAATAAAATAGTCATCCTATGATTAACAACATCAAATAGATTGTATTTCACATTTTTAATCCTACAGCGATTTAATCAATGTGATTTTCTAAAATGTTAGTTAAATATGATTGCATAAGAGTTTGAAATCAAAAAAATTATTATAAATGATGAAATTTAACTAAAAAATATTTATTTTGTCTTTTTTTGTATGGAAAAAAAAAGCAAGTTCCTAGACTAAAGGTTACTCGTGATTTTTAACATTTATTTGCTTTTTGTTTTGTTTTTAGTGTATTTTACGTATTTTATGATCAATATTTAACAATTTGGCGTGATTTAATCGTCAATTTATCTCTATCATTTGCTGCTGTTTTTCTCGTGACATTTATTTTACTTGGTTTTGATTTTCATACGTCATTTCTCATAATTTTATGTGTTTTCATGATTATTATTGACATGTTTGGTGTAATGTACTTATGGCATATTGAACTTAATGCTGTTTCTGTCGTCAATATTGTTATGGTAAAAAAAAAAATATTAAACATTATCATTTGATTAGTATATTTACTTTATTTTTGTTTTTAGTCTGTTGGTATTGCTGTAGAATTTTGTGCACATATAGCTCGATATTTTGCTGTAAATCAAGGTATAAATCGATTACATCGAGCAAAAATAGCTTTATCTGAAATGGGTAGTTCAGTATGTATTGATTATAAAAATAATATTTTTTTTTTTTATAGATTTCATATTTTTTATAGGTATTTAGTGGAATAACATTAACAAAAATTGGTGGTGTTGTTGTACTTGCATTTTCTAAATCACAACTTTTTCAAGTATTCTATTTTCGTATGTATTTATCATTGGTAATTATTGGTGCATTACATGGCTTAGTTTTTCTACCAGTTTTACTTAGTTATTGTGGTTAGTATCATTTGTATGTATTTTCTTAATTGACTTTTGTTATGTTGTTTATAGGTCCGAAATCATTGGATTCAATTGATGATAAAATATCGGAACATCAAACAAATGTAATTGTTGATAATACATCAAATGGAACTGAAGTTCATGATCATGAAAATTCTGTTCAATTCAATTAAACACAAAAAATATGATTAACATTTGTCGAATTTTCTATTTTTGTTTTATTCTATTCTCGATTGTCAGATGTTGTTGTTGTTTTTTTTACACCATTGAATACTAATGTATGGGAACAAGAAAAAAAAAAAAAAAGTATTTAAAGTTACTCTTGGCTTTTTTTTTCATTTTTTATTTTAATATACATGATTGATGTATTGATTGTGAGAAATCTATAAATAGAACTTTCGTTTTTTCTTCCTCAATTTGCTACAGGTTATTAACACAATATCATAGAATACGAACGGAAGAAAAAAGTGATCATATTAAAAAAAGAAAAGGAACGTCGACATTAAATAGATCATTACTCTTTTTTTTTGCTGTCATATTAGAAAAGACATATTAATTAGCATTTTATTATGAATATCAAACAAAGCGAAAACTAAAATTGTATTGTTAAACAGTATGAAGTATCGATATGCGAAGTATAATATATGGCACTGTTTATAAAATATGATTAATAACTAAGTCTAGTTTAATTCAACTGTAATAATACTTCCGTAAATATTTTTAATCCATGATAAAATATTTGTAAAGATCTTTGAAAAACTTATTATTAGAAAGAAAATCATGTCTCATGTGCAACCGATATGATTTTTCATGAAATCTAAAACTCATCGAAAACTAGTGTAATATAATAACTGCAATAAACATACTGCCATATTTGTCAAGAGAAAGATCGATCGATTACATGATTTATAGCATATATGTCAGCTGTGTCAACATTCTATGGGTTTGAAAGTCAATTTTTCTCTTATCTCGTATTCAATTTTCTTGATTAACATTATCATATTTGACCCTATACAAGTCATGAATGACAGACTTTTTTTTTTAATAGTTGATATTAACTATAAACAGATGCTGAAAGTTTCAAGATATATGTAATTATTTTAAACGACAGTTTCTTTTTATTTTAATGATAATAAATGCACTTAAAATATGTAAAATTTGTTAAGAAGATTGTTTTTTTCTTTCTTTTGAATTAAACAAAAATCTTCGTGTTTTTTTTATTCAAACATTTAGTGACATCTAGAATAAAAAAACTAAACTTTTTTTCTAGTAGTGTAATATGGTTTTAGAAAAAAAAATAACATAAGTCAAATTAATCGGATTTTTCTCTTGAATGACAGATAGAAAATATTAATTTAATAGTTTGACAGACAGAAGAAGATTTTATCCAATCGGTAATGTTGATTAAATCAATATGTAATTGTAGAAATGTTGATTTATTTTTTTGGTATAACCATTAGGTTAAGTAATAAAACTTTTTTTATTTGTTTTTAAATATTTGAAAAGAAAAATGAAACTTTCCTTTTTTTTTGCTGCTTCTATAAAATGAAAATATTTCTAATCAAAAAAAAAGAAAAACGAAGTATTCGAAAAGGGTCAAAGTGCTTTTTTCTTTTATCATTAATTACTAATATAATGTTGATGATTTGCATATTTCTACCCTCGAAGTAATTCGTAAAATGTAACGATTCATTTTATCATGAATCTGTCGTTTTTTTTTTTTACGCACTATTACTTTGTTTTTATTTACCTGGATTAAATCAACAAAAAGTCATGTCTGCTTTTTTCTTTCACTACCTCTACATTTTCTTTCCTGTCATATATATATATATATATGTGACATATATATGTGACAAGAGACATAAATTTCAGTACCATAAATATATGCGATACTAAACTTATAACGATTGAAAAATAAGAAAAGGTATGATGAAAAATTTTTATTTATTCCGTAGTATAGGGAGGAAAGAAAATATGCTTAATATGTTTCTCAATCAGTTAATTGTTGCGTAGGAGAAAATTAAGAGCGTAGGGTAAAATGATATATGCCCTGTCAAAGAACAGAACAGAAAATAGTAAATAATCATGGACAACAAACGTCATTGACATACACAGCATTTTTATAGCGTAGACATATTTAAATATGAAAAAAGAATGCATTAAAAAAGAAAAAGAAGTGATTGAGAAGGAAAGAAAAAAAAAGAGACATGACATTTACTAGTTAGAAAAATTAAGTCATACTGTAGAATATACTCGTTTGAGTTGTTTCTTTTTTATTCCGTTGAATAATTTTTTTTGTTAAAAGAAAAAGAGGACTTGATTGTCAGTTTGTGTTATATAAATATACAGGTAAGACAAGAGTAGCAATAGCGAACATTAATATAAAAAGCCGGTAAAAACAAACCCAAACTAGCGTATAATTAGATTTTTCGATAGTTCCTATAATTCAGAGTGGGTGTTAATACCGTTGAATAATCATTTATTCGGCACGCAAGATTTTCACCCATTGGTAAATCTATCAAATATCTTTCTATATATAACTGTTGTTATTAACTGACTCAATTTACATTTATCATTTTTCTATCACATCATTATTTTCTTTTTATCTATTCTCATATTTCAGATGGCAATATTTTTGCTCAAAATATAATATTTGATCACCTCTATATTTAGTATAAGAAAAAAAAAATAAGAAGATCAGCATAAAATCATCAACAACATCACCAAAAAGGAAATGTGTATATCATCAGAAAAATTTTCTGAACAATTTTCTCGTATTCAACAACAATTTAAAGAATGGACACCATTTGAACAATTATGTACAATTGTTGAATTAACACGTACATTTCAATCATCATATCATTATTTTCTTTTACAATTATTGCAAGTTAATATTCAATATGAAAATGACGATATGTTTAATCATACAGTTGATGATGCCAATGCACCAGGTATAAATAAAATAAAAATTTAAAAAAACGAAAAAAATATTTATTTTCTTAGATATTGTTACATGTTTATTATCAAATTCATTAGATAAAATATTATTTACAATTCAACTTTATTTACCATTAATATCAACAAAAACAATAAATGATAAATTACTTGATGCATATCGTGATGTTTTAATTTATCTTGATTCAAACATTCTTAATGCAAAAAAATTTACTTATCCAGAACAACAAATTATTAATTTATCACAACAAATTTTATTTTTTATTCAAGCAAATAAATATTTACAAAAATTATCATTACATATACCACAATTAATTAAATTAGTACAAACAAATAAATTTAATTCCGATGAACAACAACAACAATGTCATCAACCTTTACAACGTTATTCATCAATTCGATCACAAGTACAACCATTAATGAATTATTCATCTGACGGTTCATCAAATAATACAACATCATGTCAACAATTAACACGTCATGAAATAAATGATAGTGGAGTCGATTTAACTGAACCTTCAATAGCAAATCCATTACAAAATTTTTTATCAACACAAATGCAACAACATTCATTTATGGATCGTTCACATCGAACAAATTTATCATCAACAATTGATAAACATCCATTTGTTGCTAAAACAGCATCATCACCAATACCAGAACATGCAACAATAAATCTTCCTAATCGTATACCATTAACAGGTGTATTAAGTGCACCATCATCAACAATTTATACTGATTATCGTCATAAGAATTCAAATTATCAACAACAAAAACATAAAACATTATTAACAAAAAATGAAGAAGATGAACAAGAATTACAAAAATCAAATGAAGATTTTGTTTCAGAACAAAATAATGCAAATGATCATGCAAAAGCTTTAACACATTTTTATTCACTTCGTTATCCAAATACGAAAATTAATCAACATAAAGATGATGTATCACAATATTTAGGTGTTGATGCTAATTCGAATTTTGCACAAAATACATTTGTACAACCAAATACAGGCATGAGAGGTAAAATTGAAATAATAATATTTTCCATACTTTTTTTTTTGTTTGATACTAAAAAAATTCAACTCAAGAAAGATATTTCAAGACGAAAGTTATTTACGTACTTGGAGGGGTGTTATTTGTGGTGGTTTTCAGAAACGAGAAAAACAAATCGAGTAATTAAAAGATGTAATCAGTAAAACATATACTCTAGAATACTTTTCTGTTAGTTGCGTTCATCAAGATAGCATTCTATCTGTTTGTCGCAACCTAAGATTATTATCTTTTTTTCTATTCGAGATTTATCCTTGAAAATATTTCTTAAATTAATCATTTCTCTCTTTAAAAAAACATATGTATTATTTTCTTTTAAGATGTACCAAAATGGTTAAAACATCTTCGTTTACATAAATATGATGTTTTTTTTTCTAAAATGACATATGATCAAATGATGAATTTAACAATTGAAGAATTAAAAGAACTTCGTATAACTGATGGTGCATGTACAAAAATTTTATTAAATATTAAAAAATTAAAAGAACGTTCAATAATATTAAAACAATGTCTTACCGATATTGATGATGGACAAATAGATTTACAAAATTTTGTTCAACAATTAAATGAATTAATGATAACACCAATACGTTCAAAACAACTTGAACAAGAAAATAATAATGAAGAAGATTTACCTTCATTAATTATGCAAGTTTTAGAAAAAAGTATAACTTTTATATATTTGAATTTTGTAATATATATATATTTTTGTACTTTTCTTTTTTCTATTTATAGTTTATCAACAATTATCACCAAATTCTTCACCAGATATAAGTAATAGTCTTCTTGGTTTATTTGATCGTTGTTATAGACATGAAGCTTTTACTGATGATCAACGTCATATTCTATTACAATGGCGTCGTCGTTTATCAAATACACTTCAATCATTAGGTAAAATTGAATATAAAACAATTCAATCAGCATTTATTCATTCATCTCAACAACGTCGTACAGGAAAACCACCTATAAGACCTGTAAAAAGTGCAACAAATACATATTATCCAAATAATATATTAAATTCAATTCCATTAAGTAAAAATAAATCTGAACCACAAAATAATAATAATCATTTTATTGAATCAAATTTAATTCAACGTCCAAATAAATCTCCAACATTAATTTATCCAACTAATGAAGAATCAAATGATATATATCTTCAAACATCATT